TATCTAATTCCTGTTCCTCTATTGTGCGCAGGCCCTTAGGGGCTCCGCACAATAAAAGGAACAGGGAATAGAGAACAGAGAATAAGAATTTCAACCTATCAGAAACTGATTACATCGGAATACACGATTTCTGAGGTTGAAATCATAATATCTAATTCTTGTTCTTCTGTTGTGCGCAGGTCCTTACAGGAGGAACGTAGTAATCATGATAAAAAGACAAGGGTATGCTCATGCGCACCCAATCAGATTTTTGTCCTTGCTTAGTCACAACGAGTGGCTTACGCCACTGTTCAGCAATTTCAGATTGTTTTGGAAAGGTAAAATATTTAATTTTACTTCCCTCAGTTTTTTTTGTTTTTTTCATATAATTGCCGCATCCTTTCACTATGCAGGTCATCGTGAAAATATTTTTAACATTAACTTCTACCGATGACAACGTGCACTACGCCATGGACGCCATGATAAATTACGACCGATAACCACCGATTGCACCCGAATCAGAACCGACCAATCAACGCGTACCCGAATATGACGTAGGCAAGGATATGCGCAAGCTGAACGAGTTTTAGACAATTGATGAGCATACCCTTGTATTTTTATCATGGTAGTAATCATTAAATATAATAATAAGTCGTTGAAGACCGCTCGAGCAGGATGGACGTGCGTCTGGCTTGCTTCGGGTATTGCATCATCTCATTAATTTTTTTGGAAAGCATTTCCGGCTTCAACTGTGCTTTGTATTACATTATTATTTTGATAAGACTGGCCAAGCCTCATCTCGTTGGCGAGGGCCCGGGCCAATTATATATAGAAGAAGAAAAAGATTAAATATAATATATAACAAGTTGTTCAAAACACATCAACTTTATGTATAACTCATAGAGATATCGTATATTTAATTGTAATCGTAATTAAATACAATAGAATACAAATCTATTCAATTCTAAATTAATTATTCTCTATTAAACTCTGATTTTTCTCTCTTTTTCTTTAATGCATACTCTGGATACATGTAAAAGAGATTTTCGATCTTTTCTATTAAAGATCTTTTCTATTATAATATGTGTATGTGATATATATATATATATCACATACACATATTATAATAGAAAAGATCTTACATCGAAAATCTGGAGACACTGGTAGTGTCTCGGCCCTAAGCCAAACGCAGCGATCTCTTTTACACGTATCCACAGTATGCATAAAAGAAAAAAAGAGAGAAAAATCAGAGGTTCGAATTGAATAGATTTGTATTCTATAGTATTTAATTACGATTACAATTAAGTATACAACATTTCTACAAGTTATATATAAAGTTGATGTCGAACAACTTGTTATACATTATATTTAATGACTACGGCTGCTTTCCTTTTAGGAGACACAGTCGACACACTTGACACAAATCGACACACGTCGCTTTCCATTTACAATTTTGTTCAAACTCAATCGACACA